ACGCCAGTGATAGAGAGAATTTAAGGATTCGGATAATTTGTGCTGACCAAATTTTAATTGGAGTACGTGTGTTTTCACAGCTGGTTTCTGTTAAAGGACTGTATAGTACTTATTCAAATGTAACTAGATCCGTTAAATGTTATAAACCCATATTATTTTGAGTTTCTTATTAGTAAACAACGTATTTTATTTGCTCCTAATACAATTAGTGGATTCTGTTATATGTATGCGTCACCCTCCTAAATTTCTTGTACTATAACAGATATCTAGTAATTAGAACCATAAACCTAATTTATGAAACCAATACAATGAAGTTAGGAAATAGTAAGGGACATCACCGTCTTTTAAAAAAATAGGTACATAAAAAAACCCGGAATAGTACCATCCAGGCAAAAAGTACGGTAGGTAAAACATTTAAATTAAACTGCTATGCGGCAAAGGAACACCGACAGTTCTTACCACAGCATAGAAGACCTCGTCGCTGATTACATAAGTGATGGTAGGAAAGTTAATATTATAATAAAATTATATAGTACATATAATAACCTAAGGAATTGGATATATTTCAATGAGCGTATGTATAGAGTTGGTATAATTAAACCTAATTATATTCTATGGAGCTTATGAAGATACAACAAAAAACGAAAAAAAAATGAGCTTTGAGGCAAACTTCAAGAAGTAATAAATAATTGCACTGTGAACATAATAATCACAGGAGATATGAATGCTAGAGTGCGAAAAGAAGTAGAAAAATGGAAAGATGTTATAGAACCATATGGAGAGGATAAAATCAATAATAATGGAAAACTATTACTTGAATTGTGTTTAGACAATAACATGATGATCATGAATACACATTTCCAACACAAAATGATACATAAAATCACAGGAGGTCATATAAAAAAAAAACGAACAATCAATTATTGACTATACTATAGTACAAAAAACAGAGAGGAGCTGGATAAGAGACGTAAGGATAAAAAAGCTGCGAAATAGGCAATGATCACTACTTACTGAAAACTACATTCAACAGCAAAGGAATAGAAATAAAAAGAGCAGAAGACAAGAATAAAAAATATAAGGAAATACTTAAGATACATAAACTAAGGGAAGAAAATACGAACATCAGATATAAGGAGGAGTTAGAGAAGGAAATGGACAAAGAATGAAAAATGACAGAAATAGTAGTAGAAGAATGAGGACAGTATACAATAGTAGTAGAGAATATGGAGGTAAAACTTGAAATAAAAGAAAAGAAGAAATTGTAGAAGGAATACCTACGAGACAAAAACAACAAAAGAATGAAAGCTACAAAATATTGTAGAGAATAAAAGCTAAACAACTAGTCAAAAATGAGAAAAAGAAAAGTTGCGACAAGATTGGAGAAAAAATGAAAGAAACAGTAAAGAAAATCTAAAATTGTTTTATAGAATACTGAAAAACCTACGACGCAACATAGAAATAACACTAAAACAAATAATGACCAAAAACGAAACAATATTAACCGATGACAAGGATATAATGGAAAGATGGGGAGAACATTTCGAACAACTGTTGAACGGAGAGCAGGGAAAAGAAAGGAAAATGAAAACGTAAATGCCGGATCAGAGAAAAACACAGAGGAAACAGAAGGTATACAGGAAAAAGAACTATTGAAGTATTAGGAAAGATGAAAGCTCTTGGGAGCGAAGTTAGTGCAGAGGTATTCCAATATATACGAAAAAAAAAAAAACAAAGAAAAGATATATCGTTAGAAACATTATAAATCTAATATGGAAGAAAAAAATGTTGCCGAGAGAATGGTCAAATGCAATAATCGTACCAGTGCACAACAAGGGAAACACAAGAGACTGTCAGAACTATTATAGAGGCAGCATTATGTTAAGCAGCAAAACTGTACGGAATAATAATAGATAAAAAAATCAGGATAAAAATAGAACATAAACTAGAGGACGTATAAAGCGGATTTAGAAAAGGATACAACACACAGGACCATGTATTTATTATGCAACATGTAATGGAGAAAGTCTTAAAGAAAAATAGAAAAGTAGGTATAGGTAAGTTTTATAGACATGGAAAAAGCATTTCATTCAATCGAAAGAAAAACTATATGCCTGACAAACTTATCACAAGGCAGTAGTATTGAAACGTGAAAATAATTTAAATCATTCCTTTTGTATGCAATATCTACTTCATAAAATGTATTTGAAATTTTCTTTTTTATTTGAAATGGTTTATTTTCCACTTATATCCAATTTCCCTCTTTTAAATAGTAGAACTTTCTATTTTTGTTATATAGTGTTTTTTATTATATTCGTGACCTAATTTTTATAGGCTATTTGTTTATCTTTTTGTAAATTTGTAACTTCAAACAGTTCCTCGGGAACAATTGGATGGGCTTTTTCAAAAAGCAAATATTCAACGCTATAGCCGGTTACAGAGTGATCTGTTTTATTGTATTCATCTCTACAGTCTTCGGCTATTTTTGTCCATGCTCTAATTCTGGTTGGTTTCATTTTGTTTTGCATCTTATTCTGATTAGTAATGTTTGATTAAGTTTTTCGTTTAAGCAATTCGAGAATGGGAAATCTACTGAAGTAAAGATTAATTCAATATTTAAATGTTTCATATAATTTCTAAACATTTTGGAATTTATTCCAGGATACTGATCTGTTAATATGTTTATCTTGAATTTTGGCAGTTAATTTCGTGAAATCATCCGTCGTCTGATTTTTAGAAGTAACTGCAAACACATATTTGGTAAAGTGGTCTACAAGTAACGTTCTTTTGACGAACCCAATTGTGCCAAAGACCTTATTTTGTACTCTTGTTTTATTTTTACGGCAGATCTCGCATTTTTGGCAGATATCCTTTGCCAGTGAATCCATATTCTTAATGTGGTAAAAATTTCTAATTTTGTTTGTACCAGCACAAACATGACCACAAATTTGTGAATTTTTGTTATATTTTTTTAAATTATATTCTAAAATCTTTGGACAAAATTATTATTTTTCTTTATTCCTTAATTTATAAAATATATCTTGGTTCAAAAGTGTTCCCGTCATTTTATATATCATTTGTCGATTATTGTTTTGATCTTGTTTTATTTCGGTTAGTGTAACTAGGTTTACCCTTCTTGTAAATGTTTCTGCATTTTCTGTTTTTCAAAACAGGGTTTCTAGAAAGGCAGTCGGCTTCTACATTTTCTTTTCCAAGTTTATATTTAATGTCGAATTCAAATTGTAAAAGGAAATGTGTCATATCTCCTAATTCTTCATCTAGTCTTATACGAAGTTCTCTTCTCTTATGGGTTTATGATCAGTAGTAACTACAAATTTTCGTCCAATTTCCCACAATATGTCCCAAATATTTTACCTCTTCCCCCGCAAAATTACAGTTTAGAAATCTTAGCCTAAATCCCTCTTTGAGAATTGCTTCCACGAGTCTTTCTATATGATCTAAGTGTTCTTCAAATGATAATGAAAATATTTAAATGTCATCCAGTAGTTTATACAAAATGATTTTTTCTGATAATATTACTTAAAATTCTTTGAAATATTTCTGGGGATATTTTAAGTCCCCAGTTTATATTTCTAGTGCCAATGACCGTTTTGTGTAACGAAGGCTGTCTTATATTTATCTTTTATCTAAACTGGGATATACCAAAAAGCAGAATTTATGTCTAAAGTAGTAAAGAATCTAGCACTCCTTGTTTTGGTTAAAATCTGGTCAATTAACGGAGGAGGTTGCGGTTCAGGAATAATTAATTTGTTTAATTCACGAAAATCAATATATAGCCTGGTTTTACATCCTTCATCTTTTTTAACTTTACTTTACCCAATGTAACTGGGGCTGAAATGCTGAAGATGATTCTTCTATTAAATTTGCGTTTAACAATGGTCCTATTTGAAATTTTATCTCTTTTTGGTCTTCTATTGAACATTTATAAGGCCTCTTTGAAACACATTTATGTTCTAAAAGTTTAATTTGTACTTCATAATTTTGAACCCTTCCAATGTTAAATGATCTGGCTATAAATGTTCTAATTTTGTTTGAAAAGCTCTGTCGGAATTCCCTCATTAAAGTTTATTAAGTATTCTATAATATTAATAGTATTATTAAAATTTTCAATCGTTTCCTCAGTATTTGCATTCAATTTTTGATGAACTTCTAAATCAAAATCTTGTTTCATTTGACAATTCGAAAGAGAATCTATTCCAAGTAGAAAATCATACTAGAAATATTCATCATTAACTACAAAAAGATTAATATTTTTCTGAATTTTATTAATTTTCATTTTTGCAATGAATTTTCCTTTAAAATTTGTTCTGCCATTTATAGTTTTCACATATTCATATCTTCATGAATATCTTATCTTAACTTTTCTGTCATATTCGAATTCAGAAGAGTAGCTTTTGAGCACGGGTCATAAACTCCACAAAATTCTCTATTATTTATAAATAATTTTAATTTGATCAATGGCAGTAAATCTAATTTTTTTGGTCAGTTACTATATGATTTAATGTCTCCTGTATGGCAATATTAATAAAATATTTAACATTATTTGATTTGTCTTCTTTTGCTGCTTTTCTATCTTTTTGTTTTAAACGGCATATTATTTCTGGATCAAACCGTCCAAGGTTTCATTTCTTCTAATTTTAAAGTCATTTTTCACATTTAATAATAAATGCTCTATACGAAATATATATTCAACAAGACTACCACCTAGATACTTAAAAGAATAAGCTTCCCTATGTTTATTCCAACCTGTTTCAGAACAAGAATTATTTAAAATATTAATTTTCCATACTTCAAAACTATTATCTAAGTCTACTGTTAATACTTTTCATTCAAACCATTATTTTGCTATTCGATCAAGGAGTAAACGTAGAATCATAATCTTGTCTTCATTTACCTTACATCGCAAACATTCTGATTCGGAGGTCTTGTGCCAGTAAGTTATTGGAACGTTTTTTCCATTAAAATTTCGAAGTACAAAATCATCTTTTATTTTTTATAGTTCTTCTTTTAACTTTAGGAATATTTATATCACTCATTTTCAGATTGTGCAATTGCTTCAATTTTCCCATATACTGAAATTAAAGTTTGTTGTATATACTCATTTTGATAAATAACATCACCATCTGTATCAGATGAAATAGTTCAGAATAATCATTTGGAAGTTGCTTTTCAGCGGGCATTTCATAATAAAAACGGAACCCTGTTGGGTGCAACCACTTAAAATTATGTACATTTTTTTATTGTCGGTAATCCTTGCTTCTATATCTACCCAAATTCTCATTGACTTAATGGTCAAGTATATTTTTGCTCAAATAACAACTTTTATTTGAAAATTTATTGATACTCCCTATTTTTGATTGATCAGCTTATGTTCTTGATTTATAAGTGTAATATTATGCTCTTATTCTTGAGAAGAAATAACACTTTGAATTCGTCTAAAACCAGTTTATTATCTTATAAAATATTATATAACATACCAAATCGCTGCTTTAGAACAGAACTAGTCTATGTCCGAAATCACAATTTTTCAGGAGAGCAATTTGAAGGTTTTCAGAAGTTTAGTTTTCCATTATTTTGTTTGTCAAAGATTAACGTTTACTTTGTGCATACCTTTCAATTCATTCAGAAACTTTTACATTACTATAAAACTAATTTTTAGTTTTATTATTAGTGTAGAAGTAGTTTATCTGGACTTATGCTAGTTCTACACTAACAATATTCTTCATTTTTACAAAAACACGCAGTTGCTATTTAAGCAAAGTCGAATGAATGAATGATTAAATAAATTACTACTGTTCATAAAAATACAAATATTTTATTAATATGTCGCTGATTACAAAATAAATTATAAAAACAGTGATTTCTTAAATTAAATTCACTTATGACTTTAAATTCAAATAGAAGTCATGGTACACGGTCGGAATGACCAATGATTTACATAGATATTTTAAATCCTCTAATTTGTTTGTACTAATAGGTAAACTTTTAGCATTCAACATTTGCAGGTCATTATGTACTGACAAAGTTTTTCTTCTTGTCCTACGCTCAAAATTAATTCTGATAAAATTCATATCGCGCACACAAACAATTATGATACGTACCTTCTGCCGCTTGACCTTTTCTCCATTTTCATTTTTATCTATTTCGGTACAAATATGTTTTCTGAATTCAACAAAATCGTAAAATTTATTCATTTCAGTAACATTGTATGGAATCTTTCTACATGCTGTTCGTGCAATAAGGTACCACTGACTTGGCACGTATATAGCAACATTTTTTGAAGCCCTCTTTCACCTTCGTTTTCGGTATGTCCCTTTTCCAAGAAAAAGTGGGAAATTTTAATCTTATATTTACCAGCTAGATCTTTATACATTACAACAATATTTCTGTTGAGATTTTGTCCCCCACGGTTGTAAAAAAACACATTTCTTGTGTTTCTTTCAGAGCTTTTTCTTCTATTAATTTTTTAACACAGGAAGCTACTTCACTGGATCCTCTCTATCCATTTGTCTTATTATAACTTTTTTTTATAAAGATCCAACATACTCAGATTGTCAACAGAAAGATTTCTACAATAATACAACTAAGATACATCTAAATGTGGCGGTTGAAGAACTTGTTCCATATCAAAAACTGTTGCAAAATAGGTATCATCATTTTCACATCTCTTATTTGATTTTTTTTTGTTTCTCTTGCAAGAACCTTGTTCTTTAAATGGTCTTCAAATAAATCTTTTATTTCATTTCTCTGTTCTTCATTGCTGTTTTTATGTATTTCGCATAGGTCACACAATTCCTTTTTTGGTTAGAAGAATCCTAGGTTACAATTTGTGTTGAATAAAGATCTATACAGTGACAACTTAGCGAATTGTTGAATATTGTTATTCACACAGTCTTCTTTATATAAATCATACTTTTTTTTATATTTAGGTTTAAATCTAAATATTGCCTCTGTCTATCTTTTCGGCAATAATGGCTTTCTACCCTCAAAAACACTAAAACGATCCATCACTGACTGTTTTATTTTGTCAGATAATTTTGTAGCACACAGATTTTTTCCTCTTTGATCTTCTCCAACTGTATTCAGTATTTTATCTCTTTAGGAAAATGCAGTTTTTACCGTTTGACATGAAAGATACAATGTATTCAGGAAAAACATTCTAGAAACTCTTTCCTTCTTTTCAGAAGTACAAAGATAATAGAAATAAGACATAGTCCTACGTGATTGTTGTCTACTACTACCTGCCTACGTTTCTTTATCACCCTTATCGTCAACATCATTAGTGCTGTCAGTTTTATTGTTCCTTACTCTCGAGCGCATAATAGGCTTCGCCTGTACAGAAAGTATCCAATGTCATAGTACCTACGTTCTTCTTCAGTAAATTTTGAAACACACTTAAACCTACAATTATTGCACATGGCTTTCTTTGCTCTTGCTTGCCCTCTGTTGCCTCTCCAGTTTATATACTCTTTTTCCCAATTCCTCTTACTTTTAATCTCATTCCTACGCCATGATTCTTCTGACTTTCTTTTCTTTCTGGACTTTATGTTTTCAGAATTAGATGTAGTTGGTTATGAACATGTCCATCTACAAATTCAGTTTCAGTCACAATATGTGGTCTGGAAATGGTAATTATAAAACTATTGTTGGCAATATATTTACAAAAACCAGCCTATGCCATGATCTGGTGAGTGCAGAACTAGTCTATCTCCAGATAGGCTAGTTCTGCACTTAGTATATTTGATGTAACTCAACTCAGATTAGATGAGAACTAATAAATGTTGACATACACTGTTTCTACACCAACAAAATTAAGATAATGTACATATATTACTTCAGTATGATTTGAAATGCTTAAATATTTTTAAACCTGGACTTTAATATTTCTGTAGTAAGTACTCACTCTAACAAGGAAAGTTTTGGTCAAAAAAACAGCAAACAGCCAATTTTGGACATAGATAGTTCTGTTCTAAGGCAGCGAAATATAAATCATACCAAAAACGAGAATCAAGAACAATGCTACTTTTTACACAAGATTATTTGTTTGACAATTATTGTGTCATATAATTTTGACAATTGATGAGATAGTGGAAGAATGTAAGAAAACTTTTAAAGAATACTGTATAGGGCAAATCTTGGCAAGAAGCAACACAAATGGCGAAAAACCCTTTTATCAAAAGCTAGAATCACTTCCCTCGACAACTAACGGATGTAGGAACGATTATGTATGTATCTATGCATATATTATAATAAAAGAAGATTAAAACAGGGAACTAACAATACAGTAGTTGGTACTTATTAATATCAATAACAATTTTTGTTACAATAAATAATCACAATAAAAAACCAATAAACAATATTGTTACGATATGTGACTATTATTACACTATGAGAAAAACCACAAAGCAAATAGTGAATTGAAAACGTTTTCTGAATGTAAAATAGCGCTAATAAATATAATGCGGATTTTAAACCGATCATCGGTGGCGTATCCATAAAGTTGCTTTTGGATAGCACATTATTTGCAATAATGATGGATCGCGTCTCGGAATAAGAATATTACGCCTGCGACAATTATACTGGTCTGTCATGTGCTAGCGGGAACGTCTATACGTCGACCAAAAAATTCCCTAATTACATTAGTTGTTGGTGCTCTGTAGGGTGATATAAGGATAATATCGGAACTCCGCGATTAAAAAACAAGTAAGTTGCGTCACATAATAATATTCATTCATATTTTCAAAATATGCTCAAAATACTCACTTTAATGTATAAAACTTTAGCTAGTAAATATTCTTGTTGGAGGCTTATCATACACAATTTGTATGCATATATTTCATTTTGGTGATTACTTTAATGATTTTATTTGTGTTTACAGTATTTTCTTATAAATAAATAACAATAGGTAAATATTCAACATAAATTTGTTGAATATTTTTCAGATACTTAAGTAAACATTTTTGCTCATAAAACATTGATTTGGTAATAAAAAATCATATTTTATGATTGTAAAAAATGCGCTCTATTATTTTTTCCTTTCACTTTTTTTTTTTGTTTTTAAAGATTTAGTAAAAACGCGTCAGGAAAAATTATTGTTATTATTTATTACAAAAATTAAAAGTTAGTTGTGACTTAAAGTTTTCAAATATTTTGTTCTTAATGTTTAGTAAAGATATATTTATTTCCTGTATTTATTTTATTATCGTCAATATTATCTGTCTCTTTCTTTTAATAATTCGTAAGTAAATAGAGTATATTTCCTAGGTTATTAGTTTTACATAATTATTGATAATTCGTGAGCGCATTTTACTCTTGTAAACCATGCATCTTTAATGCTTTTAAATGTATATACCCTGTACTATATTAAGACAGTTTTGAGTATATTTTTTATATTTTTTAAAAATATGAAGAGTTTTTATAAGGTTTTATAGGCCTAACGTTAACCTTATATAAACTCTTCATATTTAAAAAAATATATTCTAAAATGCTTTAATATACAGGGTGTTCTATTTAAAAAAACACAACTTCAGGCCGATTTTAATTTTTAAAATTTAATGTTTTTGCAAATCCTTTTTTTTTTCTATTATATTTGTTGAAATTATGGCGTTATCGCCATTCGCCGTTTAGCTATCTTTTTATAATTACTTTATAAAATATCCAAGAAAATTTTTTATAATACACCAAGAGGAAAATAAAATGAGATGAGCAAATACATTTTATTTTATTAAATCAAATGTTTAAAATGTCCAGCAATAACTATCTGACAGTAGTCAATTCAATGTTCGAATCCATCAGATGACATTCTAAATTTATGTTAGGAGTGATGTTTATAATTTATTCTCTATAGAAGCTTTTTAAATAACCCCATATTCAAAAGTCTACGGAGCTTAAATCCGGAGAATGAGGTGGCCATCTAATAAACCAGCTTCTACATATCCAGATTAGCAATTATTGGGCGAATAATGTCTCGACGTTGAACATGACCGACCAAACGATCTTAACCTATGCTTTCTCATTTTGGCATCAATATACTTATTCTTAATTTACCCTTTTGTATCACTCTATTCATCCATTTAAGCATTCTCATTCTCATCTCTATTCTAATTATATATAAAAGTGATACTGTCAGTACTGTTTTAAAGTACAGAACATGAAAATGTTTAAAGTACTCTTAATGTTTTTATGCTGATCATACTGATAAATAATTAGCCAAATAGTGAGAAATACAGAAAAAAACAATTTTATTTCCAAATAACAATAGACCATATACCTGATAACTCACTACAATTATTTGTTTACGTTTCGGCCAATAATTCTACCACCACTGTTCTATACGTGTTTCGAGTTATTCAACTCCTAATCACGAACACTTGTGGAAGTTCACATCAATACTTAAACGCAGATATTGGTTACGATAGTTTGACGATACATTCGTCATTTGGCTCCATGGCATGGATGCTTTGGTATCTTTTCAAACCTATCTGAATGGTATACATCCTAGTATCCAGTTCACGATGGAGGTGGAAACTGATTTTCATCCCTACCGTTTGTAGACGTTATCATAAAGAAAAACCAGTCCCAAGGTTTTCATCACTCTGTATATCGAAAACCCATCCATACCAATCGTTACTTGCATAGCAACTATCATCATCCACCTTCACAAATTGATTCAGTCATTAATACCCTTGTCTCCAGATCAATACGTTTGCTCCAGCTCTCTAGTTTTAAACAAGCCCTTAACCAAAACGGTTACTTCTTAAATCTTAAATTTCTTAAAATTTTCAAATCAACAAGAAAAAAGTCAATATTTACCCCCCAACAAAAACTTTCATCTCTGGTCCGATCAATCAAAGGCAACGTTCCAAACGAACAACACAGAGTTAATGAAATTCCTTGTGCAGACTGCCCCGATCTTATATAGGTCACACAAATCGTAGAATTCAAAATATGATTTATGAACATTCGATTTCTGTTTGCGATTTCGATTCAATTTCAGCTCTAAGTCAACACCATCTTCATATAGGCCACAGAATTGATTTTGAAAATCCAAAATCATAGCTTCCATCCGCTTCTATAAACCAAGAATTATCAGAGAAGCCATAGAAATTGAAAAAAGGCCAAATTCTTTCAATAAAAGAGATGACCGCATACGGTTACCTTCGACATGGAGACCGTATTTAATTCCGATTTTTGCAAAACAACTACGATGGCGCATTTACATCTACCACTCACAATTTTGAAATCCACAGTATTAGTAATATCATTACCCCAGTTAAATGATTTATCTTACAATAAATACAAGTGATCACCAAATTTCTATTATACACGGGATTCTATGTTAGACAGGGTTCGGGTTAGTCGCAATTTAAAATAGATTTTTTCATAAATCTGTACTGTATCAACTTCAATAGATTCTAACATCATATTGATAACATTTTTTATAATAACTGAAATAAACCTTTTGCTAATTCTGAAATTAAATTAGCGTAGGTGGATGTGAAAAAATATTTTAGTACAAATCGTAAAAACATCATTCGATATAAAATATTTAATTCAATCTACTCTGGTGTGAGCACAATGTTTGTGACAATCTGTTAAAACAGTGAATAAATGTGTTTTAAAAAATAAATTTATAAAAACAACATGTAGAATCCCAAAAACAGTAACATTAAGAATATTAATATAATTTATTAGTATCATACTTATATTTTTATATAGAGTTTTAAGTATAAAACGCGTCAATTATCTCGGAATAGGCTTGCACGATTTCTAAGCCTTTTCGGCCAAGTTCGAAAAAAGGAAACGAACAAGATACTTTGAATGAAGACTTGTGTCGTGCATTAATCTCTTCAAATATACCGATTTTAAAATTATCCAATGAAAACTTAACTTCTTTTTTAAAATGATATTGTAAATTGAATATTCCAAGTGAAACGACTTTCAAGAGAAACCATGTTAACTCGTACTCGTCAGTAATAGATAATTATAAGCGATCAGATCTTACCAAAATCCTATTTAATTTCATGCAAGCAATTTGAAAAACCAACTCCGCAACAATATCACGTTTTGTACAAGAAGAATTATCAAATTTTTTTGTTCCTGCAGCTGTTTCTAACCATAAAATATTGCTTTTTTATCCGATGCTGCTCCATGTATGGTCAAGGCACCACAAATTTTAACAATATTTTTACCAACTTATGTTACTTGTTTAGCACATAGAATGAACAGAGTTGCGGAAGAAATTAGAAAAAGTTTCCTTTTGAAAACTCCCTGATAACAAGCATAAAAAAGTATTCTTAAAACTTTTTAAGAAATGCTTCCAAATATTCCACTTCCACCAGAACCCGTTTTAACACGATCGGGAACATGGTTGGAAGACGCTTTTTTTATTCAGACTATTTCGTAGATTTAAAAAATATAATTGACGCTTTAACGGATGAAAGTTTCCAATCTCTGCTAGATGCTAAACAAATTTTTAAAAACAACATTCTTCAGCAGTAACTTTCATTCACTAAATCAAATTTGAGTTTGATTCAAAAAACTATTACTCAAGTAGAACCATCAAAGTTGTCCTTGTACTGGTAGAAAGCATAGCCTTAATAAAAGAAATTAAATCAGATTGTCAAAATGTTAAAGGTGACACTGGAAAAGATATTTTTCAAAAATTAGAAACAATAGTTAATTAGAAACAATGGTTTTCCAACGAATGCAGGGAAATAGAACAATACGAACGAAAATACGACAGTTACAATATGCACAAAAAAATAAATTCGATGACAAACAAGAGGAAATTCAATAAGTCACTCAACAGCATAAAAGATAGCGATGGAAATCTTATCTCGGAGCCATCAACGATCTTAAAAACATGGAAATCATACATAGAAAAATTATTTGCATCTGACAGGACTGATGATCACCTATATGGAGAGGGAGAAACAGGACCTTCAATCCTTAAATCGGAGATAGAAGATGCCATTGCAGCACTCAAAAACAATAAGTTAGCAGGTCCGGACAATGTACCCTGCGAAATATTAAAGATCCTATGTAAATCAGACAAACAGTTCCTTGATAATCTAGTTGTACTTTTTAACAACATATATAATAGCGGTAAAATCCCGGAGAACTGGCTGCAGTCAACATTTATTACAATCCCGAAGAAACCAAATGCCCAGATTTGTGATGACTACCGACTTATAAGCTTGATCAATCATGTCACTAAAGCGTTCACTAAGATCATTCATAGAAGAATATAGATAAATCTAAGTCAAATATTGATAGATCGCAGTTTGGTTTTCGGAAAGCACTTGGAACTAGAGAAGCAATTTTCGCTCTCCAGGTGCTTATACAGCGGTGTAGAGACGTTGATAAGGACGTGTATTTGTGCTTTGTAGATTTTAGAAAAGCATTTGACAATGTGAATCATGAACAATTGATAGGTATTCTGCGAAAGACAGGTATTGACGACAAGGACATTCGAATTGTGGCAAACCTATACTGGGGTCAAACAGCAAGAGCAAAAATTGGCAACGAACTCACTGAAAGCGTGCAGATCAAAAGAGGTGTCCGTCAGGGGTGTATATTATCCCCACTCCTATTAAATATGTATTCCGAGGAAATATTTAACAAATGTATGTAAAATGCAAATGAGTGCATAAAAATAAACGGCGAGTTAACGAACAATATAAGATATGCCGACGACACGG